GCGAAGGAAGTGTGAAACTGTTTCTTCAATTCCTGGAAGCGTGCTTCCTTGTCTGGGGGCGCTGAAATGAGGAGGTACTGAAACGGCGTCCGGAAAGCTTCGATTCGCTCGTTATCCTGCAGAGGTGCCAAGAAAGACCTGTTCGATGCGACCGTCCACTTCAGCAGGGCTGCCGCCTCTGCAGACATTGACGATGTTTTTGCAGACCAGGAAGCACCGATTTGATTTCCTACACGTGTGCGGATGCCCTGCAGCTCCTGCACGTAGGCCTCCAACTTGCTGAAATCTTTGCTGTCGGGATTCAAAACCACACGAAGATCCTCTCCAACATAAACTTTTGGAAATGGGTCCAGTATAAGATGCCTTCTTGAAGACCTTGCTGCTGCCAGAAGCATGCAGACCAGCAAGTCGACCACTTCTGCATGATTGTTCATCCCCTCTGCAGACGTAATCTTACTGCCGAACTCCCCGAACTGATAGGTGCAGAGTTCACGCGGACAAACTGCACGCATCATCATCGGGGGAAGGGTGAAAGGGGAGTCGCATATCGCGCAGTATTCATGTAGTGTCGGCATGCGAAGCTGCAAATATCTTCCAAGACAACTGAGAAAACCAAGCTCCTTGTTTCCAAGCGCTTCAAGGGTTAGGCTCTGCTTCTTCAACTCGAAGCGCCGATACAGCTTGTCAGGAGTATCGTCTTCAAGGACGTCGTCTGCACCAGATTCGAAGCTCTCCCACGACTTACAGCTGCAGACCAAGCAAAAGTCTGCCAAGATCTGCATGAGCTGCTTCTCCAAACCAAACTCAGGAAAGCCTTCTTGCCGGATTTGCGTGAGCATGTAAGGCTTGACAACTCCGAAGGCATATCCGCTTGCTGGCAGGCACAGTTCCACGCATATAGGTACGTCAGGCTTGAAGCCCCAGGCAGAACAAACCCTTGTGTCCAGGATCGCACATTTAACTGGCACGTAAAGTCGCACACGATAGGTCTTTGGGCATAACTGTGTGATGTCAACTGCACCGTCGCCAAACAAGTTTCGCACCGAGTCTAGGTCGCTTTGCAATCCAAGTTCAGGAGGCCGTTCAGTCACAATCCAGTCCAGTTCTTCCTCGCCGGCATCTGAGCAGGAATCCTCACGCAATCGCTTGCCTTCCTGCGACTTCAGCTTGGAAATGACTGCCAAGATTGTGTCATGTATGGTTCCACTCGTGTGTAGTTCGAAGTCATCAGGTCCATACACCACCGTCGATTCCATTGGATATGGGTCGGAAAGAAAAGCAGTGAAATCTCCTTCGAGACCGAAGACTTGAAACACGATGGTGTCTTCCTCTATGTCCAGTCTGGACAATCGCTTGTTGGCCACGAATCGTTCTCGTGCTTCGCGAACATCATCTTCGATGACTGTGCTAGAGCGGAGGGACATTGCGGTCAGAGACCTGCTGGGCCTTAAACTAAAATGGCTCACGGCTCGTTGCCAAGTCACTCTGGTGCTTTGCTCACGGTTACAAGTTACCGAAGTCAGTAATGGTAAATAACCATTGTTTGAGCAGCTCGACCTCCAGCTGCTTTGCGACTTCCTTGTCAGCTTCAGCCTGAAGGAAGCAGCATCATTCGGCAAGAAGAACGCCTAATCCGAACCCCCCGTTTTTTGAGGACGGGCTGCAGTACACATACCAAGCCGCTGAACCCTGAAGCACCGACAAAGGAATGTGACCTTCTTCTGTCGCTCCTTCGCCATGGAAAGCTCAAACTCGGCCTCCTGCCCAAATTCGTCCCGTGCAATCATCCAAGTCCGCACTCCAAGGCTTCGGATTTCGGGATTCACGGGCTTATGCGGCAGCCACAGACTGCAACAACAACGGCAACATAAACACAGACATATATGTATGTATGTATGTATGTATGTACGTACGTACGTATGTATACATATATATATATATATGTATGCATATATATATATATATATATATATACATATATATATATATATATAATATATATATATATGTACATGTATAATATATAATATATATATATATGCGTACACAGACATGTATATACGTATATATATATATATATATATATATATATATACGTATATATATATATACATATGTATATATATATATATACATATGTATACATACATAACGTCTGCAGCGTCAACATATGTCAACATGATAAAGATATAGGTATAGAAAAAGATACAAATGTAGATGTAGGTATGGGTACAGATATAGATATAGACCTAAACATGTAGACATAGACATTGATTTAGGTGTAGATACGATACTGAGAACAACATTGATGGCATCCAGTCCTTTCTCGCCATCTCGACTCGATGCTTCCATAAGGCAATTTTCTCCTGCAGAATCCCAGTGGAGGGCTGATTTCCTCGCATGCTGAGAAGATTGAGCTGCGCCTTCTGTTCCTCTTCTCTTCGCCTTTCTTCTTCCTCCCGCTGCCTCTCCTAAGATTCTGCTTCAGCCAGATGAGCCAGAAACCACATCCGTCGGGCTTGGGATTCCAAAACCCTCCCCCTCTCGGTCTGCGGCCTCCTCCTCCAGCCTCCGACGCTCAGCCTCCTCTGCTTCTCGTCTTTTCCGCTCCTGGAGCCGGCAATCGAAAGCCCATTCTTCAGAGTTACTGCCCATGAGCACGGTGATCGCCACTGCTACTGGCATCTGTGCTAGACTAGACCATCAGATGCGAGCTGGAGCCACCATCCGGACGCTTGGTCCTAGGATCGGTTTTTGATACCAACGCTAAAGCTACAAAATCTTCCTCCCAGCATACTTCTCAAGGTTCTTACAGTTCTTGCTCTTGTATCTGTTAAGGCTCCTCTTTCAAAGAAAATGGTTGGTAACCCGTGTCTTGACATTGTGACACCCTGCAGGAGGTGAGACTGCCACCGTCCCGCACCCTGATCTGAGCAGCCATTCCCTGTGCACGGGTTACAGTGTTACCGAGCGAGAAGTCTATCCTCCTCTTCCTTTCTCCGTCGTTCTGCTTCCGCCTCGCCGCATCTCAGTGGCTCCGAAGCGAGGCGACTTTGGGGTAGAATCGCACCATCAAGGCATGAACTTTAACAAAATGCTTCGGGCGGTGCCAGCGAGCACAACAAATAGCAAAGAATAACGTGTTAAGCATTCCACAATGCATTGTTGTTCAACAGGGCTTGTTCTGGGGTCACTTAGAAAATTGCCATTCTTTATGCAACCCTCTTACCGCTCTTGAAGTGAAGAATGCTTGCGAAACCAGATCATGCGGGCAACAGCCGCTCTCGAGCGCTGCACACAAACCGCAGGTATTTGCGTAGTCAGAAGGTGCAGTTGAAGTGTCAGCACTTTGCCGTTTGCAAGTTTGCCTCTTCCCTTTCTCGCTGTTCCTCTGCTTCTTTCCTTGACCCACGCACGCACATTACATCACATCGCCAACAACACAGTCACCACAACGGCAGAAAGGCCGAGCGAGTCAAGATCGGCCGAGTCGCCATCTTGCCAGGTCTTCCTTGGAGACGAGTTCGTTCTCTTCGTCTGGTCAAGTCGAACAAAGAAACGACAGTGCCCCAGACGAGACTTGTAGCACCGGTGCCTGATCCCGACTCCTCGTCCTTCTTGTCTTCTGGAGCCTTTAAAATGGCTTAAGTCGGAAGCTTTCGCTGCAAGGGGCGCGAGATTCAAAGCCCCGCACATCTCTCAGCAAGGCTCGCTTCGCCGCACGCTGGTGCCGCGCCATCTCCTGCCGCGCCACTTCCGCGGCCTCGGCCTCCTCCCAATTCAATTCAGAAGTCCTCTCCTGACGCGACCTCTTGTGACTGGGCGCCATCCCCACATCTCCGTGGCCTCGGCCTCTTGCCGCAATCGCTCCGCCTTCTCCGTGGGATCCTGCACACATCCACCCTCCCGAGGCCTAGCTGCCTAGCTTCCAACCCGACTTGGAGCCTCGAAGTCTTCGACGTCCAGTGCCTCGGGAGTCCCTGCACCAAGGGCCGTATGTCTCAAAGATGCAGACACCGTTCCTGGGCTGCGGGCCTTCTCCGGCAGCCTTCCTCCGGGGCCCTTCAGCTCTCTTGGACTTGGTCGTCTCCCGGTCCCTGTTCAAGCAAGGCATCGACATGCATCCAAGATGACGAACGATCAAGTCTTCAACTCCCACAGACTCTTTGCAAACTTACGAGGAAGAGGGCTTGTAGTCTTGCTTTTTGGGGCTTTCTCGGCCTGGTCTTGCCAGGATGCTCCAGCTGTGTCCGCTTGGTGGCGGGATGGGCATAGAAGTATGCCCCAGGCTTCGAGCGGGACTCGACCTTAATGCAGACAGCCCGTAAGGACAAGCCAACTGAGGAATCAAAAGAACTGTCATGATGATGCTGATGACGAAGATGGTGATGAAGAAGATGATCGTGAGGATAACGAAGATCATGATGATGCTGACTGCTGCTATCATGGCAATTGTAGTTATTCACCCATTACGATGGACATATACAAAAGCCGCCACTTTCTTGTTATTACCTCTGCCATGACTACGAGTCTCTGCGATTTTCTGATGTTTGTTTCACAGGAACATCATCAAGAGGCTGCAGGTCACAGGCTCCGGTTGAGCCACTCAGCCACACCATCCAGCGGTCATTTCAATGATGCAACAGCACATGTCAAAAGTGCACCACCCACATCCCCTCGAGAACTTTCCGAGATAGTCCTACAATGTCCTACAGATGGCGACTATATCTGTCGAAGCTTGGTGGGAACTAGGATGATCCACACATACGCCAATCCCTGCAACTTTTCGGCCCGCACTTCTTGACATCTAAGGAAGGAAGCAGAGGCGCTAAAGTCAAGAGTGTGAAACATCGCCGAGTTGAGCTCAGAGAAGTGGTGAACTCGGCTGCCTGTATTGTTGCGAGTTGGTCCAATATCTAGTGGGTGCAGCAACCGCAACGACAACGATCAGCAGCCGGCGAAGCCACGAGAACACCACAAAACGGATCACCGCCTGCGGGTTATCGCATGTGCTTCGGCTTTGGGATCTCCTTCGCAGCCTCCATCTCTGCGTAGGTTTCTTCCATCAACGCCAAGGCTTCAGGCTCTCGTTGGAAAAGGTACTTGAGACACTGCAACACGTCAACTTCGTACGTCCCACCCACAAAAGATGGCAGCTTCTCCGGCAGGAAATCTTTCTCACCAGCAACCGCATCCGCAAACGTTGCATACTGCTCGAAGCCCCACTTCTTGCGTGCGCGAGCACCCATTTCCTGGTAAAACTTAATCATCTTGTCATCCGGATGGAAGGCGATCATACGCGACAAACGGTTCGGGACGAGCTGAGTAATGTCTGAGTTGCGACTCTTGCTCTCCATGTCGTACTTTGCCCAATCGAAATCTTGCATGTCCGAGAATGACACAATGCCTTTGGCGGTAGCCATCGGGTAAGCAAGACAGGTGCTCCTCGCCATGAGCACATAAAGCGATCTCTGAAACTCCTTCCACTCGTCCGTCTGTCCTTCTGGAGTTGGGTAGCCGATGTCGTCACCGTAGTATTCACGAACGAACTGAATGGGCGACCCAGACGATGCGCTCAATTCCGGGCAGATCACAAGGCTTCCGCAAAACCAATTTCGGATCATCTGCTGCATTAGCGGTTTTGTCCACTGTGCAGAAAACCATTTGAAGCGCTTCTCGGCTTCCTCGAGATTTCTGAGGCGCTCTTCGATCTTTCTGGCACAGAAACTTACATCAGAGGCTGTCGGCTTTTCCGGGAGTTCTGCGGACCCGACCAAGACTGCCCAAAGGATTTGCTCGTGATTGGCATGCGTGTGGAAAACTTCCGGCATGTTGGTGAGCCTTTGCATCTTGAAGAAAAGGCTCTGTTGCTCTTCTGAAGCGCCATACTTCTCGAAGAGTCCCTTCAGTTCGTCGTCAACTGCCTCTGACTGGGCCATGTTTGGGAGATTGTAGTGACTTGTAGTGAGCGTATTAGAAGTAGCTTGAGCCAATACGGCAATACAATACATGCAAGCGCTTGCTTTAAAAACGCTGCTTGGCAAGATGCCGGGCGGGCAGTCACTTTGATGTTGTTTGGCCCCACACATGGACCATGGATTGCAAAAACTGAACCTAAAGCTTCGCGTCACTTAGCCAGCTCATCTCGGCAATGGCAATTTGGCCTGAGCCTCTGGCTCGAATCCAGCCTGGAGGAAGATCTTTCGAGTCTGCTGAACGATGGGCAGGTGCCGCGCGCTTCTTGTGCTTGGCCATGGCTCGGCCAACTGTGGCCAACTGGCATATCACCGGCGGCTAGAAAGCGGTCGCATGCTTGGGTATGGCTGGGGTGGGCTTGTTAGGGTGGGTGGGTCAAGTGTGCATGCAAGAGTCTACCGTTGCGGCCTCCGACCTGTAGTTTGTTGCGTCGCAGTTCGATATGATGCATCGCTTTCAGCGCGACTGAAGCGTCTAACAGTGAGCAAAAAGCATGATACCAGCACAAATCAAGCTGCTGCACAGCTGTCTTCAGTGGTCATCTGTCACATTATGTTCCATACGATCATGCTAGAATGTGTGTCTCATAAAACCTTCTGTTACCGATAGCCCTCTTCTTACCAAACCTAGCATGCGCGGAGCCGGCGTTGCAGTCCCATGTCGCCTCCGGCACGACCCGTCTGGCCTGTCAGGGGCTCGCAGTAGCAATGCCAACCCATCATAGCGTCGCACACCAGGCTATATCAAAAAGCTACTAGTGGTGTTCACAGCAGTTCAACGAGCACCAGCGATCCTCGTCACCCTCATCTCGACCAGCATGATCATAATCGTTGTCGTCGTCATCAAAGTCCTCTTCCTCATCACCATCACCATCATCACTGTCATGCCCATAAAGCCAAGAATAGTCGTTACGGTGCTATCTTGCTGTCTTCCTGGACATGAAACCGCCTCGCCTGCCGAGATCTTGCACAACAGTCCATATAAACGTTCCGCGCAATCGGCTTTAAAGTTGCGAAACATAGCATGTCATTGCTACACAGTCACCACCATCGACGATGTTGCGTCAGTGTGGCTTTGGTGCATGACAGGCTTCGGGACCTAGCACGCAAAACCTCCCCGTAGCTTCAGAAGCGCATCCACTTGTTACCTTTGCTGTAGTAGCACCCTCTCAGCTTGCTTTGTTCCCGAAGTTTTCGCTGTACCTGTTGGCCAGTCTGGGCAGCCTCTCGCACAATGGCAACAAACGAAGTAACAGACATTACTGACATCACTAGAGACACTCCAGACAGCGAGGCTGACCGGCCATCAGTTGTGGTATTGGTTGGTGTCGGAATACCACCTGAATTATCAAGATATGCACGATCGGCGGTGCCACTCACGTCTCCATGGCATTCGGATCAGACAAGCCGAACTGGAAAGCACAGAGCGCTGGAATAGCTATCCTTGGCGAAATGAAGTCACGGAGGCATGCACACTTGGATCGAGGGCCCTGTGATCAGCTACTATGCTACTAAATATTCCGAAGTTCCAAGAACAGAGAATATTGAGACCATGTCAAAGTTGCATAGGGCACGGCGTGCAGTAGCTATCTTTCGCCCCAGAAAAGGACTACAGCTGTCAGTCTCTCCGGGGCTTCGCGTCGCAATTGTAAAGGGTAGCTGACATGGCAGCCAAAAAGATGCTATTTAAAGCCAGGGACAAGCACATCAGCTGCAGCGGCAGTCCGAATCGCAGGAAATCGGCGAAGTCGTATGGCCCTAAGCCTCCGGAATCGAGCATTGCGAGACCTGGCCTCTAAAAGTGCCTGCCGCGCTGAGGCCAAGGTCGCAAAGTGTCATAGAGAGCGAAAAAAGTCTGAGAGCGGGACCCTTGATCATGATGTTGGACGAAGTGGCGAAAGGCATTGCAAAGGCGGCATTTGCCGAAAAGACCAGAACAAGCGCGGTCGTCTTCAAGTTCCTGGGGCCAGCTAGGGCGTAAAGTATGCGTAAAGTTCAAGCACTTCAGGAATCAGCGAGCTGCAGGTACCGCATGTATGCGCATGGCTGAGAGTTTAGCCAGGCATCATGCCCTCTGAAGAACAAACCCGCATTGCAATGGGCGCCATCAGAGCAGCTGTGGCAGTATGAGACATGAGATTTGCCAGTAGCGATGTGATGAAGGACAGGGCCACCAGAATGCCCAGCGGATGGCCGAGGGCAGCATGGTGCCCGGCAGATATCACGAGCTTTGCCCACGCGTTGCCGAGTCCACTTTCTTTGATGGCCTGTTCAGGGTTGCCGCTTCGACTTCCAGGCGGTGGGTTAAGCTTGTCAAGTTCGAAAATGGCCTGTCCCACACCGAGACCTCCCGCGATGGTGAGGAAAATGGGCAGGTTCAGACGCTGCAAAACCTCGGATGCGACCGGCAATTTAAGCCACATCTCGCCGTCCATGTTTGGCTGTCTCCAATATGCTTGTCCGGCAGAAGTATGGAAACGCTCGGTACGCGAGATTTTGGCTTTAGGCTCTCGTGTGGCCACGCGCTTCTGCTGCATGGCACCGAAACCCCCAAAAGCCCTTGGTGGGCCAGTTTCACGTGTCGCCTTGACAGGTTCACGTGCTGCAACTAATTTCGCAAATATTATGGGCTCAAAGATGCATGCAGGCAAGAAGGGCAAGATCCGACTTTTCGGACAACTCGCCCGGAGCCGTACGAATGGGGGCCCTCAAAAAATGTGGTTAGACGGGTGTGTTTAGCAACGTGCACATGCTGCCTCACGGCCGATCCAAAAAAGCACGGGAATGTCCCTCTGAGTCCCTCTCGTGCCTTCTCTGCAACACCAAGCGACTGCTTCCCGGTGGACGATGTTCAGAATAATGCAGAGGCCAACAGCGGCGAGGCCAAGGAACACCAGCTCGCAGAAGTTCCTTTGAAACAGTCCAGACTCCGAGAAAGCCCTTCTTGCACTTTGGGGTGCCTGACCAATGCCAGCCCTGGGTCCTTGTAAACAGAAAAGGTCCTATTGTGTATAGAGTTTGCATCTTATTATCTGAAACTCGCAGACCTCGACCCCATCGCCAGCACCGGCACCTGCCAACATATTTACCGGGTTCTACCAGCCCTGAAGCTTGCGGGTATGCCATGCCATGACCCAGAGCCAGAAACTCTTACTCTGCCTGTTTCTGCACTACTGTAGAACTCGGCAGATCTTGACAGCAACCTCTGGACTCTTCGGCCCAAATAATGCAAGGGGCAAAACAGAGCAAACAATGACGATCGCCAGCAGTAGAAGTGCCAGCCATCCTCTTCTCTGATCCACCCGGCGTCCATGGCGTGGCGGCGCTGACTCCGGAACCACCGCAACAAAGCTGAAGTTCCTGTCCACCTTCTCGCTAACATGGAGCCATGGCAGGCACTATGGAAGCAAGAGTAAGCGTAGTAGCTTTGCCGACAGGTTGCTTCAGGCAAGTCGGCAAACTCCAGGAAGGCCTCCACCAGAAGGATGTCTCCGGCCTGAAGTTGCAGCACAAAAGGGCGTTCCTTTCAGCCGATGCCTTTCTGCCCAGGGGCAGACAAAGCCTCCCTAAACTCTCCCAGCTCGACGCTGCTAATGTCCGTGCTGGGCAGCATGTCACCTTCCACTCTGGCTCTTCACAAGAGAGAAGAGCTGAGACTGAGAGGAGCAAAAGCACAGTGGCGCATATATGCGCCTGGGGATGAGCGGAAGGGGCGTCGCTGTGGATAGGGGCTCGTCATCGTCATCGGAGCTTGAGGCCGCCGTGCAGCAATGCAGCTAGCCTGCAGAGCCGGAGGCTGGGCTGAAACTTATTACTATTACTATTCTTATTATTATTACTATTACTATTCCTATTATTATTATTACTATTCTTATTATTCTTATTATTATTAGTATTATTATTATTGTTATTATTATTATTATAAATTTATTATTATTACTATTACTATTACTATTACTATTACTATTACTATTACTATTACTATTACTATTACTATTACTATTACTATTACTATTATTATTATTAACGAGGGAATACTGCAGGGTCCTTAAGGTTTCGGCGCTCTCGGACAATCCAGGCGAGGCATATGGTTCGAAGTCTGACAATGTGAAACGAAATAATGGATCAGTCATAATACCAAAGCAACAAAGGCTATCGGAACAACTAAAGAGACTGTATCTGCTCCTTAGGGTTTAGGGTTTGGGGGTTCTATAAGGGTTCTACTATAAGGACCTGAGAAGAAAGACTGAATCGGGGACTGGAAGAGGAGATACCTCAGGAAAAGTGTGTAAAGAAGGAGTGGGCCCGTTCGGACCGCTCCCTTCAATTCAAAGCCGGAGACTAATATAGGACCTCAATAATTACAACAGGGTTCTGGGGCATATTATCCCATTACTTATAATAAGAAGCCCCCCCGCATAGTCTAGTATAGGTAACTATTATAAGGCACCTTGTATAAACCCACCAACTCTTCCGACTGCGGCAGGGTTCAGCAGGCAGGGTCCCGGGTGTAGGTTCAGGGTCAGAAACCCCTAAACAAATCCACGAGATGGGGACCCGAACAGCCCAAGACAAGTCTTGGTCTTCTTGGGAGTTTCCGAAGATTAGGGGTACCTTATTTAAGGGTCTTCATAATAAAAATCCTACTATTCAAGGTGCTATATTACGCTCTCACAACTCGGACACAGCTATTAGGGTCCCCTAATTTTTTCGGAAACTCTCTCTTGGCCTGATTCAAGCTGATGGGCAACTTGCCTCGGACCACGCTGCAAGATACCCATGCAAACTTGTAGCAATGCAAGCGTGCACGGTGACATGCAGCCAGGCAGATAGTTTATCCATAGCAGCCAAGCAACCTCCTTAGACCCCAGCCGCCCTTGACGCATCTTTTTGATCCAAGGCGCAGCCCACAAGTGGAGAGCCTGGGGCGATACCAACCTCAAAGAGCCTTCTGCGATGGCGCTGGGCTCCTAGGACCTGACGCTCTGCCGAATGGTTTGGAGTTTGGTGTTTGGGCTTCATGGGGTTTAGGGTTTCGGCGCTCACGGGTTTCGGCGCTCACCGTGAGCGGTTTTAGGGTTTAGGGTTTAGGGTCCCCCACCAGGGCATCAGCTTTACGGCTTAGACGTCTCGGCCTTTTCCGACAGTACTGAGTTACTGGTTCAAGGCCCTCTTGCTTCAATGAAACATAAAAGATATGCTCTGACTCCGTCCCGAGACCGCCAAGGGATCAACTCCTTTCATCATCAGCCCAGGGCTCCTGTTGCGGATCTGGGCCTCGCGAGTTCGAGTGAAAAGGTACTGCGGCTGATGAAAAGCCCCCGACAAGCGTCGGAGCTGCCCACAGCAAGACTAGCCCAAACACGATAAAAGCACTTATACGCAGAGAAAAAGGAAGATGTAGATACACATGTACACACACACATGTATGTAGGTATGTATATACATATATACATATACATATATATATATGGCTGTGTGTATGTCGAGTCTAGATTCGCCAGTGACCCACATCGAGCTGCTTCTCGCGACCTCTTCTGTCCGTGCTACATATGTTCGATTATGTGCTTCAGATTAATTGTAGATATCTGTCGTTGGTGTTGATGACGAAATGCCGACTCAAGACATGCAACATCATCTGAGAGGCGACCCCTGCCGCCGTGGCGGCGAAGTGCAGGAAGTCGCCGACCTCCAGCCGCTTGTCCAGGGCGAAGTCGGTATCAACCAGAGAGGCCCCCGGCTGAGAGAGCAGCCCTGCTTGAGCAACCGTGGAACCTATCAGAAAGGATCCCTTCGCGATCTCGAAAGACAGGTAGTAGCGGTTGCTGCACTGATGCCGCAAGTGCTCCATTCGGCTGGGAGGCTCCACTGCCGCAGATCCCAGAAGTGGCTTCGTGGCCAGGGTGCAATACCTGCGGCTGTCCCAGCTTCAGGGATGCACTAAAAAGGTCAGCAATATCTCAGACTGTCGGCCTTCGCTTGATTAGAAGCTCCGTTAAAGAAGCTTAGGCTTGGGGCTTAAGGTCAGGCCCCAGGAACATGCAAGTAAGGGCCGTGAGCACAATGCACCCCAAGGCTGGGTCCAGCATTTGAAGCTCCGCCTCTGGCATGGTCTGAAAGATGGTCAGAGCCACAGTGGAGGTTACGATCATGAAATTTTGGCTCATCCCACCAACACTTGCAATGGGCAGCAAGATCTCGCGCGGGGTGAACCCGGCTTGGGGCGCCCAACGTTGCAGCGCGGGTGCTGCTGCGACTACGACAGTGGTTTGCTGAACAAAGGCACTCAGGAAGGCAGTGACCAACTGAACCCGCAAAAATGCCTTGAGATTCTTTTGCTCAGCCCCCAGAAGACGCGAGAAGATATGATCCAGCACGCCAGAGTCCTGGATTCCACCGACCAAAACCAAAACAGCCTGAAATGCGATGTTGCCGGGGCTCGAAAACCCTGCCAGTGCCTGACTTGTAGAGATAACACCGCACGTCCCAAAGAGGGTGACGGCCCCCATGAATACAAAGTGGCTCCGGTAGCCCTGCATCATCATGGCAGTGGCAGCCAACAGCACGTTCCCCACGAAGAGTGCCGTCCAAGGGTGTGAATAACAGGTCCGTTTCCGTCCGGTCCCTTTGCAGACTTCGAAGAAACGGCGCAGCTCAGGTTCATCGTCTGCCCAGAAGCCAACCATCAAGCTGAAACATGCAGAGAGGAGGCACACGATGACAACTTGTGGACTGCATGTTTCTGTCAAGTAGCTGCGTCCGGATCGAAAACTTCGCACTGGCTCCACCTGCATTGTCACGCCCTGAGCGGCCGCACAGGTGTGGCCGCCGCCGAGTCACACATGTGTGAGCCAGACGCAGGGAACAGGACCCGGGAACCCTGGTGTCTTGAGCCGGTGGCTGCAAAGTGCTCGTGCCATGTCCAGCATAGAGGACGTTCAGAATGCCAACACATCGCGATTGCAGTTGCAGTACCACTGACACAAGGACTGAATGATTACAGTAGGGATTTGTGGTATGGTATAGCTATACAGGTCGATGGAATATTGCTACCACAAACTATTCCGGCGCTGGCCGATCTCCCAAGCTACTTAAAAACCCTGGGAACGAGACTCCAAGGCAGAAAAGGCTCTCAAACGCCAGCCTCCGACATAGTCACCTGGCTTGCTCTTCGGCTGGACATATGACGAGCAAAACTCGTAAGATCTCATGGAGCGACAGGGACACCCGAACAGAAGCCCGTCAATTTTGCTCAAAACGATTTGAAGGCACAGGGAAAAGCGGCATGTCCCTTGGGGCTCGTCCGCCGTGCAAAATTTCGGGCTTGTCGCCCAGCTACTGGCCGGCTCTTCGGGTCTACGTCAGCTGCGGGTCGGCCGCTTTTCAGCGGGCAGTGCAAGGTGGAGGGCACTTCCTGGGCGTGGCCTCAGCTGAGAGCTGTATGCGAGTTGAGAAGAAGCCATGATCTGATTGCCAAGGGTGCGGCCTTGTGCACCTGGGCCTAAACGAGACGGCAAGGGCAAATCAGATCAACTTCAAAGCAGTGAGGTGATGCCTGGAAGTCTGCAAAACTGGAGGTGGAAGAAAGTCCAGGATACCAATGTGGATGCTCTCGAATTCCATGGCGCATTGCCCACCGCACGGCCGAGTAGCAGGACTCTCCTGGGTGAGCATCCTTGGTTTGTGGCTAGCACTCTTCACCGGCTGCTGAATTTTGCGTTAGCAACAGAGAGCACAAAGGTGGTGGGCATCGAAGACTCTGTGAGGCAAGTGGCTCGGCAACCAGCAGGAGCGACCGGCGCGGGCGCTGCTGCTGGAGTTGTTGGAGCCGGGTGCGAAACCGGTTTGGAATTGCCGTGGCAGGGGGTAGGACAGACGTCTGGCGTGGCCTGAGCCGCTTCCATTCATCCACACAGCCACTGAATCTTCGGCCAAAGAAATAAGAGCCGGGCTCGATGGATTTGCGCCTGGGCCAAGCATGGGAAGAACTGGACCGACCGGCGGAACGAAGCGGGACGTCGCGTAGCATCTGCCCCGCTCCGCGCCTGAAAGTCTGAGAAGCTGGAGTGCTTTGACAGACCTGGATACCACTCTGGGTGAGCTCCGATGCCTTGGAAATACTGAACCCTCTCTGGCCATCATGTTGTAGAGGGATTGCTACTGAGGAGTTTGCCATGTTGCATGGCCCATCGCACAGCACCAGAGCAACGATCGCTAACCTCGCAGCCACCAGTTGGACAAAGATACAATCCGCAGAACGCGTGCCCGACTTTAACATGCCCAAGGGAGGTGTCTGAGTAAGGGGCTGTGCAAAGAGGTGCCACGGTAGTTGTTGTTGTCGTTGTCGTAGTGGTGCTGGTGGTAGTGGTCGTGGTGGTGATTCCTTTATAAAACCTGAGGCCACGCTGCGCAGGAAAAGCAGCGCATCGTGAAATGTCAAGACGGCCTAGACGGCAGATTGCTTGGGCAAAGCACTGCTCCATCTGGAAATCACATGTCGGTGACGGCAGATCTGCATCGCCTGAGACACCAGTCTATACGAGGACCCCACTTGCAGCCTGTTGATGACAAGTCACTCGGCATGTCCGGGAACTTGTCCTTGAACAGCTTGTCTACCTCGACGGGAAAGCAAGTAGTGAGCCGGCCGGAAGATTGTCGGGCAATGCGCCTTTGCCATCCTTTCAGTGTTGGCTTCGGTGTCGTTCATCTTGTTCCTGAGAATCAACGCCCAGATCTGCACAGCGCCAGGTACCAGCAGCATTGTATGAAAGAACATGCCTGCGTGCAGCAAAAGTGCCAGAATTCCAGGCCGTCGCCTTTGTCGTCTGCCTTGTTGAACTCTACGTGCCTGCACCAGATAACCCAGAGCAAAAAGGCAGGAGAATGACCTGAAATCCTGCGCGTTCGACATAAATATGCGAGAAGGTGGGGGCCCCGCCCTTCGCTGATAAAGCGGCCGTAGTCCTCGATGCCCGTCATCTCGTCAATCGAGATTTCCTGTGCTGACAGAGCCACAGCCACGTCAAGCCAGCAAGTCAGAGAGTCAGAGTAGACCAAAACTTCGAAACTAGTGACTACAGTGCTTCCAAAGCTGCTCCCGCATGCTCGATGCTGTACGTGCAGTCCCCAGCACCTGTGGGAGTGCCTTCCTTAGAACTCACAACATCCGTGGCAAACGACCTCGTTGCGTTGAACCGCTGGGGTAGAGGAGACGACTCCAAGGTCCGAGCACAGAGGCCGCCCGGCTGGTCTTTGATGCAGGCGGCGTCCTTCTCCTGAACAGAGGCTGGCACTTCTTTGAGTTTAACTTCGGCTTCTGAAAGTCCTGCCACGTGTTGGCTGGGCATGGTCCTGGAAGTGTGTACCACCTGCGGAAGCACTGCATGGAAAGTGCCGATTCCATCAAAACAAGGTCCTTTCTGAGACCGCTGCTTGGCTCCCTCGTAGTAAATTTGGTAGGTAGGGAAGGGAAACTCCCCCAGATTGTTGCATCCAACAAAGTAGCCATACCTCCCAGCCCAGAGGAGGTCTTTATTTTTTCGATTGCACATGGACACATGGACCCCACCTCCCATAGCTGAGGTCGCAGTTCCAAGGTCCAGTGCACTGCGCGGCATCGTACGCGTAACGAACCTGGGCTTCAGCGGCACCCAGCAGGTCCCAGCAGGTTGCACTCCGCGGCACCAACATCGGAGCGCATGCAGCACGAGCAATGCAGGCACGGAGCTCCGAAGTTCATGCCCAAATTGTAGAGGGGTTGCGGTGCCCGACTTGAGACTTTGAAGCGCTGGAGCCTTGGGGCAGAGAACTTGGGACTCGAGGAAGAGAGGATCGCACCCTTTACTTCGTCGGCCTTGTGATATTGAACTTTCGCGGGGTCATCCACACCACCTGTTGTTACGCAAGGGTCATGCTCCTGGCACAACTATTGACTGCACTCAGCGCAACCTCGTTGTGCAAGTACCACATGGTGCCAGGTAGATTTCCGACCTGCGACATTGCCACATGTCGAGCAAATAACTCGTGCGCAATGAACCGCACACACACACTGATGGATTCGGCCAAGAGTACGAGTGCAAGAGGAAAAAGAGAGGCATGTTGTTCTTGCTTGTTGTCGCATCAAACTTCAATTGTGGCAATTGAAAATCTAATCTTGGCACAGGGGCCTTCTAATCTGGCTGGCACAGGGGCCCCAGCTCAATTTTATGCAGGTACGCCAGACTGATCAGGTCTGGTATCCACCATTACGCATAGCTTCGTTGGCATGCGTTTGCGTAATGGCCGCATGCCCCCTGCAACAGTTGATTTTGTAAATGTCTAATGCCGGATTATGTTGAAAAGCGAAGTTGCAAACAGTGTAGGAGTGACCCTCTGCTCCCATGTGCTAGGGAGGTTCACACACACACAGCCCCAATGGGGCGTACATGCTTCAAGTAGAGTGAAAGGTCTGATGCGCGGCAATAGGAGTGAATGGCGCACTTTTCTCGCTGTCAAGAGCGATCGGGTGATTGTCGTATTTCCTGATCCGAACAGGTTCTAACAAAAAGCACCGGCATCAACGTGGCTAATGTGGTGACTGAATCCCAATCATGTAGTCGTCGACGGTTTTGTTCGAAGAAGAAAGCTGGGATTTTAGGAGTTCTGCCGGTGATCTCCTTGATGCGGTAGGAGAAGATCTTGCGAGCTTGGAGAACGTTGTCACCCAGACAAAGCACCACGTGTAAGAACATGTGCTTGTCTCTGGTGATGCGGTCGGGTGGAATTTCAACAGTCATCCGAAAACATTGTCCTGCCATGGAGTACCATGGAAGGCCGGCCTCGGCAGCCTTTCGCTTTGTCATATTTTTGCTGCTACCAACCGACAAAAGCTTGAACAAGGAATGCAAATCAACATGGACATGATGTGTGCTCTGGCAAAACAACAAAGTGGTGTCGTCCTGACACTCGCATGCGCAGGCTTTTTGTCACGCTTAGCGGATCTTGCAGCCCTAATCCGTCCTGAGAATTAGGGTCCAACAGCGAGTTTGTTGGGACAGTCACTCATGATCTTGAAATGGCATCGACACCTAAAACCTGCACGTACCAGCATTTTTGCACAAGCGGTTTTGGACCGCTTGTGCTGAATAGTAGGATGCACAATATCGTAAGGTGCAATCGAGTCAGAAGACCAAGGATCTCGAGATGGAGACCGGTGTGCGTCCTCAGCCATGTGTGACGTTGCCGTAGGTGACGCTGATGATGTTGAATGCGAAGAGCGTGTCCTCTTTCGTCTTGTAGTATGTGGATGTTGGCGTCGTTGCTGTGTTGTGGATTGGGATGGTGGTGAGATGTTGCGTGTTTTCTTTGTTTTCATGACTGTTTTGTCCTTTTTGTCTTTGTTGTCTTTCTTCTTTTTTGTCCTCGTTGTGTGCTTTGTTTTTTGCTTGTGTGTGTGACTGACTGCATGGGAGGATGTGGTGGTGTCATCCTTCCTCAGGAAGGCATCAATCTCTTCGGATCCCCATAGGCTGCTGTCGTCGTCCTCGTCCATCTGTGTGCGATCCTAAATATGTTTCAGCAACTGTAGTTCTGAGAAATGGCTGCGGAGTCACAACTGCATTGAGGCATGTGCATACGCTGATCTTCAGAAGAGAGAGAGAGAGGTACACAGAGACATCAATTGAGCAACCTCGCCGACCGGCATGACCTTTCAACATGATGCTCTTAATGTTGAACCTCATCAGGAATGATGGAGTTCGCAGCACAGCTTTGCTGTGTGGTTGTTGGCTGCCGGGGGCAGCAAATGTGCATCTAATTGTCAACTCAGCAATGTTGCTCACGGAGTTCTTGACCGCTTTCTCTTGTTGGATGTAGGAGTTGATGTAGTAGATACTGTCTCCTTTTGGGTAGGAGTCGTTGATGTCGGACGCTGATCAGGTTGCTCCGAATGCTTTCGTATCCACTCTTGAGATGCGATAAAGTACTCACGCCACCATGAAGAGCCGTTAGTGGCCCAATGCCATCTCCATTGTGATGCCGTGGGAGATCGCGATCTGGTGCGTTGTTCCATGGTGCTAACACAACTGGTTGTTTTGCAAAATGCTGCGGGAAAGAGTGCATCAATCGCTGCATACCAAACATATGTGAAGTGAGTGCACTGACTGTCACAATTGGCAACAACGACAATCGTTGTTTTAACCGTCCGCTGCAAAGCACCCAATGGTGGTATGAACATGGTTGATCACCTATTGTTGCGAAGCTTCGAGTCTTTCCACTCGTTGCTTTAGCTCTGTGATCTGCCGGGTTGTTTGCAGAATAAACTCGGCTAATTGGTCGCGTAGAGCCTCGTCACTGAATGTGGAAGGTTCACTTCCAGTTTCGGAATCATAGTCCCGATGCTGTGTCAAAATCTCCATGAGGGCCTCGGAGAGAGCTTCACGTCGTGACTCATCGACGGGTGGCGAATCTGTAGTCACTGTGTTTGTCGGAAGAGATGCTTCGCTCATGGCTCGATGTCGGGATTCCGATAGGTGTCACTCTGAGGCAAAAACTTCAGAAGGCAAAGTTATGGTGTGTGTCTGAAAGCAACATGTGTTGAAATGCGAGAAGTGTGCACTACCTGGCTCTTTTTATACCAGCGTACCTTAGCAGCATATTCACGACCAATCAGGCGCGTTTTGCCTGATGAGGCTTTCGAGTACGTCGAGCTGCTGTTTGCACGAGGCGAGGATCGCCGTGGTAGCCTCGTGTTGAGTGGTCAACACCGTTGTAGCCTGTTGTATCAGGCGCTCGAGTTTGGCATTCGATTCAAGCAACGAATTGTGAAACTGCGTTATTGCTGCCATAATCTCAGTCGATGAATCCGGATCAGAATGATGCGGAGGTGGAAATGGCGGGGTCGCCGGTGCAGCCACTGCTGCGTCCTGCTGTTCTTCCGGATCTTGGTGTTGCTCTTGGTAATCTTGGAAATCTTCGTCTTCTGCAACACGTAGGAACTGAGAGCGCAAAAGCGCCGGCTGTTGATTGTGGCTGCCAACCGCAGGTTGCTCGTTGCGGCGTCTGCTATGCTTGGAGATGGATGGCCGAGGACGGCCGCTCAGCGCTTTGTGGCTCGGCTGCAATCTGCCAGTCATGGCACTTTTATACATGATGATGCCTCAGTTAAACCCTGTAAATGGCTGCGGGAAGCACTGTGTTGATACAAGGCGGCTCTCATGTTGCAAAGTTGCATGGCTCTGGACACACGCACGGCAACTTGGCACAGTGTTTTGCTTACAGCTGTTGATCAGTATAGCCGGCAGCGATGTAGAGATCGCGCATGGCTCGAATGGTTGATGTGGCCTCGCTGCATGGTGTTGTCACTCTGCGTACCATGCGTGTGCGGGCCTGAAAACTGCTGCGAAGTGTTGCAACAGATGTGGCTGACTGTGGGTGTAAAATATCCGCCTTGTGCAAAGTGCATTGATGCGTAAGGCTGCTGTGCTGAGGGTTTATGGCGAAACCCAGGAAAATGTTGGCCGGTTCAGTTTCAAGCTGAACCGGTGGTTTGTAAAAAGATGCGTCAGTAAGCTGTGCAAAAGGAGGCAGTCGGGTCAGCTGTGCAGGTAACAGAAGGACGCGGTTGTCGACGTATCTGGTAGCAAAAAAGAAAGCTTGATCCTGCTTGTTGTGGTCTGGAAAATGCTTGTGGTTCTGGAAAAGTTGTTTGTATGTGTGGTGCCAACACTGTTCTTCGACAGCAACCACGATGTTGCATAGGGCTGGGCTGCAGGGCGAGCCCATAGGTGCACCGCGAAATTGCTCAATGAGTGATGTACCAACAGTGAAATAGTTGAGTCGGAGCACTGCAATGATGAGTTGTGGTATGTGTTGTAATTGTATGCAAAGTTTGTTGCCGGAGGAGGCTTCTTGCTGCTTTTGTCTGCTTTTGCCCCTGTGGACTCGATGTGTGGGGTCTTTCTGTGAGTGGTCAATGAAGAATTTGGAAGAGTGTAGTGGGTTCTTCTCTCTGTACCATCGAACCATGATGCTGTATGCTGAAAGAAACCGGCTCTGATCGACCGATGTAAAGAAGCCAGCCAAATCCTGATTGTACAGGATGTAATCTGTTGAATCTTGTAATTTCCTGCGTTGATGCAAGAAGAGTGCTGTTTGTTTGAGCTGTGTTATCCCGTCTCCTTGGTGAAAGGAGTTTGGGCATGCTTGAAGTGTCATCAGCTGCAGTACGTCTGCTAAGGCTTCCCATAATTTTCGGCCCATGGTGTCGATGAACGCCACTATAGGACGTCCTTTCGCGAATTGCTTCTTTCTTTTCGGTAAAATGTAGGCACGTGGGATGCGGCCCCATTGTGGAAACGCCCATGTGTAAGTTGGTAGAAGACTGCGGATGTCTGTGTAGACATCGAAGTGGTGTTGTAGAGGTTGGCGCTGCGAGATCCGAAAGATCTCTTTGTCTAAAAAAGTGTTGTGTATGGCAGTGTGGTATAGTGCTGGGCAGTACCACGTGAGTCGGTTCGGGAAGTGATCTTCGCAATGGATGATGCCCGTGGGTATTTTGTGTTGGACTTGCTTGAGCATCTTGACCTGTAGTATGTTGTTTTTACTGCAGTGTGTGTTGTGTTGTGGTATTTGTTCAGATACAAACTGCTTTGCAGTTTGATGGTTGTAAGGTAGTCCATAGTGTCGATGCCATGTGCGTATGGCTCGGCATAATTGTGAGGCCAACTGTGTGGGCTTTTGAAGGCAATTGCTTTTGCCGGAGTATGCCAAAAACTGATGTTGTGGTTGTAGTTCTGCAAGTTGGATAGCAATGTGATTGTGGAAAATGTGCTCCTGGGGTACTTGTGAGTGTAATGGTGAGCATGTACAGGGTGGTGGTGAATCAGGTTGCCATGTGGTGTGGGCATCGCGCCAATTGTGTAGAAGTTGTTGCATGGGTGGGTGCTTTTTGTAGACAGGTTTTGTGCTGGGAAGGTGGAATGGTGGAATGT